ATTTATCAAGTGATCTTTAGCAACCATAGAGATCTAATTAATATGCGTGATGTATCATAGAAAAATAAAACTTACAAACATTGTCTTTTATGTATTTACTTAACACACTTCAAAGCTGTGAGTCCATAACCACTCAGCCCCATCTTGGTTGGGGCTGAGGTGTGAAAATTTGGGGAAATAGTATCTCTAGATGGCCGGAAATGACACTTTTTATATAGTAAAATTCATCATCATCACATTACCATTATATTGTCAAAATGAAGCGCCAACAAATTTCTCGTGATCTTTTAACAGGGATTTTCGGCAAACATAGAGATCCGGTTAACCAGAATTACTTAGGTCTAACTATAGCTTACTAAGCTTTAACTACAATAGTAATTATAATGATTGGACGAATTACAAATTTCTTTTGGCCAGCACAATTTTCCTCACATGTTAGTATTATTACTAACCGTATCTATCATTATCTCCATCATTATCATCACCATCATTATTATTATTACTCTAGTAGTAGTATTATTGAACAAAACTTTATAAAACTGCAAAAAGGATAAAAACAAAACTAAACCATACATTATCACATGTCTGGCCCGGGATTTATGGATTTAAGACAAATTTAAGCTGATTTTTTTTGTTAAGTAAGTTTGATAAATCCAACCACTAAGCGGTAAAGCCGTTATTTATATAATCCCGAAAATTATTATGGGTACCGGTACTCTATTAGAGCACGGGTCACAAACATATAATATATAGTAGAAGGAGTCAATTTTTAATTGTACGGTATTTAAATCATTACCAATCTCAGTGGTTTTTTTGTGTTTTTTTTTCCTTTTTTTAATTTTTAATTTGTAATCGCATAAAAGTGACACGTCGTCCTCGGAGTTGACTGTCCAAGACAACCCACTCCCCTAAGCCTCATAACAAGACTTAGTTTATGTAGATCATCTTGTGTATATATATGTCTTGTGAAGGGATACGCCACTTAAAAAAGTGATTAAGTTCGCTGTTATCCTTGACCTTGGGCCTAAAACAAAAAAGAAAATATTTCTACTCTTCATTTTGAAAATGTCAGTGAAATTCAACGAATGATGACTTAACGTCGTCGTTGTGTTCTTCGGAGAAACTACGCTGTAGTCTGAACCATCAAGGATGTTTCTTGTATGATATGTTGTGATGCGTAGTGTTTGACTCCCGCCCAAATTGTCTGTTAGTAGCAGACAGTAAATTAGCATATATTTAGCTAGGCCACAAATTTGTAATTTCAAGTCAAATCAATGAGCTGTCTAGGCAGAGGAAGTTGTTACATGATTCAGTCACATTTTCAGGCCCCGATCTAGATTTGATTATATATATATATATATATATATATACATTTCTACGAATTATTTGAAATCACGGGCGACTGGAATATTTTCGTTGAAAATGCGATGACGTTACTGTTTTAGAAATAAGTATGTATTTATATTTTTCTCACGCGAATAGAGAACTGTTTATGCGCATATACTAATCCCACTTTAGTTTTTTTAGTATTTTTATTATTTATTATTATTATTATTATTATTTTTATTATTATTATTATTATTATTATTATTATCATCATCATCATCATTATTATTATCATTATCACGTTATTATTATCATATTATTATTATAATTATATTACCATCATATTATTACTATTATTATCATTACTATTACTATTAATAGTAATTATTTATTACCATACGGTATTATATGAATTAAAGAGGCATACAAGGGGTGTAGAAGACAGGTCACCTGCTGTCTATTCAAACGCCTTAATAAAATCGGCCACTCTTTGTTGGGTGTACAAATCTAATTGGAAGGAACTGATTCAATTTTGTTTTTCTTTCGTTAGTCCCTTTGGTGTATCGAATTCCCCTGGTAGCAAAAAGCTGCAGGTTCGAATCCCGCCAGAGACACATTTTTCCATGCAAATGAAAAAGGAACTTTTCGTTGAAGGTCTATGACTGATACGATTATAACATGTCAGCATGTTCCTATACGAGCACTGTTTTTGGTGTTGTTGTTATTGTTGTTCTTGTTATTGTTTTCATTTATTATTATTATTATTATTATTATTATAAAAAATAATATTTTATGTATATATTATGTCATGTTATAGGGAAACACCGCCATCACAGATATAAAACAATAATCATACCATACGTATCAGATTATTTGTAGTTGTCTATGCAACGAGTTCAAAGATTGCGTTGGTCCGACAAAGCTAATTAATAATATATTTTAAGAAATTATTTCCTTTAAAAAAATTCTACACAAGATTTATATCGTTTACAACCCTGCTGCCGACCAGGGTTCTCTCAAAGTGGGAATAAAACTTCCCGACCGGATTTTAAAATATGAAAAAAAAGAGTGAATATCGTTGAATTTCTAAAGCAAGCAAGTGTTCCGTCGTACGTGGAGAAAATAGCTGTATTCATTTGAAACATTGATTTATATCCAAAATGACAGTGTATTTTATGATAATATAACTAACGCTGGTTAATGTAATTAAATCATTCAATTAAATTAATGAATCATTGTTGACAGTTAAATGCCAATATTAAACGAAAATTATTGGCATATAACCAACTGAATAGGTATACAGAGCCCAGAACTTAAATAAAGCGCTTAGGCCTAAAATCAAACATTTTTTTACTGCATGAACACCATTCGTTGTTTATGCATTTTCTCCACGAATCTAAATCTAATAGTGTGTGAAAGATAAAAATAAATCGTTGAGGAAATAATTTAGATATATAGGCCTATATTTTTTTCATACTCGCAAATCGCAGATTCCTCTTCTTTAACGTTTAAAATATATTTATATATACTTACAGCAATACCGCAAGACGGTTTAGAGTTTACCTCTATTATATCAATATATAGGCCTATATTATACTGTAATCAATCTGGATTCTACATTCGCTCAGACTGCCACCGCCGGTCAGCTCACTGGCATTTGTCGTCGGGTAGTTCTTAAGCCCTGTCTAAACCATCAAATTTTATTTGACAAAAACATGTGACATGCCTAAATATGGTAATGATGACATCACATCATGACCATATATAAGCACATCATAATTATATATGGCCATACAGCAGTTTCTTTCAAATGATTCTCTTTGTGTTCTTTCTTTAAAGTTTCATTGATAACAATGTATTGATTTATTTTAATTAGAGTTTTATTGGACTGAAAGAATTACAAGATTGATTTATTATCGACACTATTCCAGAATATTCCAGATTCGTTTAACACAAGCATACACTTAAAATATATAATTGCTTAAGTACTTGCTTAATGCTGTCTTCCTTGGATTTGGATTTTGACATCTTCGGGGCTAACGACTTCAGCAGTTGCATCTGTCTATTATAATAATAGCTATAGAGTCTTGCTCAAATATATTATACAAATTACTGTATGTTAAATTCAATGTAAATATTAAATACAGAAAGCATGGGTTATATAGGCTTACTAGTACAAATTAATAATAAAACTTATAGAAAACGAAAAAGATAGTTCAGATAAGAAATCATAATTATGTACATGTTATGGCATAGCGTCGTAATTAACGAAAAAGGCTGATTTGTAACTATATGGGCTGAATGGGAAAAATAATTTTTGAGTTATAGAATATTTGCACATTTCAATGGCAATAAAATTCATGACTGTAGAAAAATATATTAAACCTAACTATGACGTTTATTGAACTTTAGTCGTAGACCATAAATAATCATGGTTTGAGCTTTCCGGTATATATAATATCTATGAAAATAGCGCGACCGGGTGCACTAATTGCGGAAATTGTGACGGCAAATTACTTTCAGTTCTCAAGACAGGAAACGAGCTATCGCAGCAAGTTGCGTAAATCAACTTAGTAATGGCTAGCTATCCGTACGTGTGTGCGCAGGGCATTTGGCATTTTTGCTAGTCGTACAGTTAGTGTAAGTTTTCCTCGCACTATACCAAACCAGGAATCAGATGTTGTAATGTTGAAGAAAGCCTTCTTACAAGACCAATTCATCCTAAATATTTGGAAGAAACCAACATGAAGACCTGCATTCCTAATCTTGTAAGTAGTCATTATGCAAATAATAAGACTAGATAATAATAATAATAATAATGAAAATTATAATTAAATTTATATAAATTTTGACGACGAAAATGATAATATTATTGTAATTATAGTATTACTATTATTATTCGGCCCTATTACTGCTATTCATTATTTCTATTATTATTAATATTATTATTATTATTATTATTATTATTTGTATTATTATTATTATTATTATCAGTCAATATTAGTAGGCCTGTAGCAGTAGTAATAGTAACAGTAGCAGCTATAACAGAAGCAGCAGTAGTGGCCTAGCAGGAGTTTACCACCATCCCAGTTATTCCTTATATTTCACATTTTTCCCAAATTTATTTACGAAATATAGGCCTACATCAGTGAGTTTCGAGCAAAATATAATATTTTAAAAAATAAATTGTACATCTGCTTATAATTTTTATCAAAAACTATACACAAATGAAACATTTGCCTTGGGTATCAGACTCGAACATGTTCAAACTCGAACGACAGTTGTTAAATCCACTTTTTTGTAATTGAAAAGTTATTGTACTTACTCCCAATTGGCCTAGACAGGTGTGTGTGTTGTGTGCGACCGATCGAACATTGCGCCATTAATTAGTGCCTGTGTTCTAGTAATAGATTTTGAATTAAAGATAAAACAACGTTGTAGTTTCAGCGCAGCGAATAGCAGTTGTATTTTATCGCCGTTGTCATGTCAGTTTCCACTCTGGCCTACGTAACATTCAGTGGCGGATTCAAAGGAAGGGGTGGGGCACTCAGCCCATCCCCCGCCCCCTAAATTTTTCAAAATTGTAAAAAATTGGAGAAAAAAGGAAAATAATTTTAACTCTGAGGGTACCATTTCCGGCCATCTAGAGGTGCTATAATTGTAAATTTTCTTACCTCTGCCACAACCATGGTGGGGCTCAGGTGGTATAGACTCTCTATCTGTTAGTTTCAAATTGATGGATCCGTCACTGGCATTATTGTATTCGGAGCTCTCTAATACGAACGGATGGCCGGCCCATGAAGGAATATATTTAGAATCTGGGAAGGATAAATGGTAAACCAAGACGTTAAAATGCATGTGTGTTATTCGATTAGGGAGGAGTTCCGTTGCTTGTGGTTAACTCTTGCTTTTCAATGTGAGTGTCATGTTTAATTGTGGTCCGCGTGGTAACAAATATTTGTTCACGACCATCATCAAAATTCCTCGGGCTTTTTGGAAAAAATGCGCTATAAGATCGGTATATTATTACAGTATTAATAAATATACCGTATTTATTCGAATAAACGCCCCGTTTTCAATAAACGTCACTCGAGTAAATGCCTGGTTGGGATCAATAAGTCTTCACGATCATGCCATAACACATTTTCACGGTAATTATGTGTTGCAGTTCCACATTTACAGTGAAATTACGGGGCGTTTATTTGGGTAATGTACCGTACCCATTTTACACCAAGAATTTAAACGCCTCCCTCAAATAAACGCCTCCCTCGAATAAACGCCCAACAAAAACCTTTTTCAACAATAAACACCACGTGACGTTTATTTGAATAAATACGTATCTCTATATTACAGAATCTTCCATGTGCAGACATAGGGAAAGTCGAGTCGCCGAGCTGTAAGGCCCTGTCGCTTCAGTTGGTAGAATTTATCTTTGTATACAATGTTTCAAACACTTTTACTCAGATATAAATTTAAAAAAATGTACACTCAATAATAGAAGAATTTAAATTGATTTTGATAAAATTAATAAGTCCAAGGAAATTCGCTGTCTTTAAAAACGAAAAGAAAAAAACCAAAACAAAGCAAAACAAAACTAATACAACGAAATTTTAAAAATAGATTTAATTATTGATCGTGTGGCTCATTTCAGCTTATGTGGTTGTAGAGTCGTGTAAACAAGAAGCTATTATTTTTGTCTCTTTCTCATACAAAACTTATATTCATTTCAGCATAATATGTGGTTGTAGAGTGGTGTGAACAAGAAGCTATTATTAGGGTATCTTTCTCACACAAACCTTATATATTTCCGCATATGTTGTTTATTGTCAAAGTGGTAAACATTTTTAAGAATCTGAAAGGATATCAGAACTTCTTTCCTTGTAAATCAAAATGTTATTGCACTTGAGTAAACCCTTTAACACACATGTAGTGTCTTCCAAAGGCCTGTAGCGTGGCTTAATTTGTGGGAGGTTCGTTTCTGTGGAAAGTGGACCCTTTGGCTTGCGGATCTCCGATTCTCTGGAGAACATTGTAAATATATCTACGAATATAAATTTTTCGTTTTTAAATGCGGACCTTCTTCAGTTTTTAGGCGGTTCGTCGTAACCTCTCCTTAACCACCCCACCTCCCGCACGCTACGGGCCTGCCTCCGCAAGTGACCTAAGGTGTACGGTAAATGACCCCGGAAATAATGTTCTACCTTTTGCAGTAATTAAATAAAAATTAATAAAATAGTTCATAGATAGTTAAATATTTTTTTTAAATTGCAACAAATTTGAATCATTTGGGGTTTATAAATCAATTACATATCATGTGTTAGTTTTTAAAATAAATTAATTTTATTAATCGATAGTTTTTTTTAACAAATTAATTGTTTTTAAAGAGATACTGTAGGACGGGGGCCGATGCCCACACGAGGGGTCAGATTTCCCAGACGAAAGCAAAGTGGGCGTGGTCGAGCTTCGATTAAAATGTTTTGAAAGTGGTCCTAGGGGTGAAGTCCCCGACAATTTTGACAATTTAGGGGTTTCAAAGGCCGGTGCCATTTTATTTCAGGGTCATGTTTACCTACATTCGTGACCTACACCGGCTGTCCAAAAAGAAACGGGTCATCTTTCAGTTTCACTGTACAGTACTTATAATATACAAAGCAAACGATTTAAAATAAGGTTCCAGGTTATACCCGAAAATTGTCACTGCCACAAGGAATCGACAAGTACAACTTTTTTTTTATGGTAATCGCATTGATACTTTTCATCACATCTCTGGAATTGTCTTCCCGATATCAAGTTATCATCAACATTAGCAATCTTTGAAACCTCTAAAAATGTATTACAACATAATATTTGCATGCATTTTCTCTTGGGGAGGTCACCATCTCTCTGAGCAACCCCGTCCCTTTGCTCGCGTCATCAGGTAGGGGTCTGAAACTGCAAGGTTGCGGCCGGTGACTCCTCACAAAGATTCTGAATTTTGTTGTATCCTTTATTTATTTACTTTTGCGATGTAAGGCGCATAGACGCTTTCTTGCATTATGCATGATACAAGTTAAATAGGCCTATTATTATTATTATTATTATTATTATTATTATTATTGATATTATTAATATTATTATTATTATTATTATTTTATTATTATTATTTTTATGTAATGCTCTCAGATTAGTAATGAAACCATTTAATTTATGGAGGGTCATATTTGACATATATGATTTAACACGAAATGGAGCCATTTCGACCCTAAGCATGGTGTACTGACAGCAGTGTAAAAACATATATAAGCATATAGGTATATATATATACATATATACATTCAACACTTACCGTACTGTATATGACGCAAATTTTCGGTCCGTCTGGACCCTGTCGTTTAATCCCGTACAACGGAATCAATATACTGCACAGAGAGAAAGAAGTACAAACACATCTCCAGTGAACCATTACGATTTAGTTTTCAGGAAATATTAAATATAGGTACTCGGAGGATTCACCATTGCAAATGTGAACGTTTGGGTTCGCCCTCCATGTAAACAAATGGAAACTCGAAACTTCATCAAATCTCTGTCGTTCAAGAAAAATACCTAATATTTTTTAAGTTATAATAATAATAATATTTATATTTATTTCCTCAAGAACACAGGAGGGGGTCATACGAAAGAGGAACAAGTTCCTATTACCAAATTGTTTCATCTGCCCAAAAAAAGGAAAACTAGGCCTATGACATGAAAATTAATGTTGTTAAATAAACGCAATAGTATCTGATTTAAAGTTTTTAATAGTAAAATTCAGTTTCTTATTTCGATAGCAGTTAATCGAATACAAATATATAAATTCCTGTGTAAACATTTCAATATATTTAATATAAGTAAACATAGGTCTATTAGGTCGCCAAGTTTGCCAATGCTCTCTTCACTTTATCTAAACGTTTATGTTTTATTTTCTGTAGGCCTAGGGTTGTTTAAAGAAAGAAAAGAGAAAACCGTTCGCGAATATTCTCGACTTGGGCCTATTGTAAATTGAATAATAATTACAGATATATAATTAGAGCGAATTGAACAACTTACCAGATTTGATAGCATAAACAAATAATTAAGCATGCACTATCCATAGCTGAACACTGCGGGATGCCGTTTCCAATCCGGACTCATTTCTGTCTTGAACTTAACAATTTTAAGTTCCATGCCTTGCTTCTTTAATACTCCTTGTGTTTATTTGCTATTTTTTATTTATTATTTTGCTGCAAATTTGTATCGCTGTTATTTGTATGTGATTTTTCTGTAATTTCTTATATTTGTTCTCAATATTTTGTAATTCAGATTTAGTTCTGCAACATACCGTACTGTTTTAAGTAAAGAACAATTTTTGAATAAAAGACATACCGGTATGTTTTGTCACCACAGTAAACATTTCAAATAGGACTGTATCTATAGTTAGCCTAGGCCTTCGTGTTGAAAACGAAGTGTTGCATGTTGCAGCACAAACGAGACGAGAACGTGAGCTTGGGATTTAAACAGGGCTGATTTATTACTGATTTAAACAACAGTCGTTTAGTGTTAATTAATTTAATTGTTAATGATGTCAGTGTTTTGTGTTTTAAATGTCCTTGGTAATAATGGTTTTCCTGCTTGGAAATGCAAATATTGTTCGTTGAATGTGGATGGGGATGCTCGCATTCATTTTACTTTCCTGAGCATATAAAGTGGTAAAAAACTTTCTGTTGAGTACGGTATCTCTAACTACACAGGGTGAGAGAGGTGGGGAAATAGCCATATAGAAAGTTTTTTTGATGGTTACAGGCCGAGGCCAAGGCTCAGCCTGAATGTTGTTTCGTTTTTAAAGTGTTTTAAGGTGGGGTGGCGGTTTTTAAAAACGGAAAACGGCTAATCTAATGTACACACTTTGATTCCGGCATAGGCTAATCATCAGACAATCTGGCAAAAATAATTGTTCGTAGAAATCATGTAAATTGAAACTTGTTTTTTTTTTTTTTTTTAATGAAATACTTCAAGTTGGGCCTACTAGTAGGCCTATTAAAAATACCAACACTCTAGTCGACTGTCGATCATGTTGTAACAACAAAGGTTTGTTTGAACCGGGTATCAAAGGTGTAACCGTGGACATCCACGGGTCTGAGCGCATGCTCTGTGAAATTCACCAACACATGAAAATTTTGGGTAGGCTAGACCCGAACGTTTTGGTTGTGTGTGAATTGGTTAAAATCTACAGCCAACCCCTATTAAGGAGACATCCATTTAGGGAACGGGCCGGGAACACTTTACGAGTCACGGTGCCAAATGGTAAATTTCACATGTCAGCCTATATGGGGACACTATTTTTATATCTTAACTACAACAAATAAAATAGTCTCAAAATTATCAAATTCAATTTCAAATTCTGACAATTTTTGAACCAAACTTCATTTTTCTTGATTCTTAACGAATATCTGTATAGGCCCGGGTTAACCATTCAAGTATTCTTCCTGTGAAAACAGTGTGGAGAATTGAAACGCAAAGCTCCACGCTATTGTGTTTCTTTGGTGACGCGTTTAAGGGCTAAATGTGTTTTTGTTTGTCACGTATTTAGTATTAAATGTACTTAGGTATTAAATAAATCATCAAAGGTACATATACAGTGTTTAGGTATTTGACATCAGAATATCAATATCTAAGCACATTTAATAATTGAAACGCCTCACGATTCTAAGTTCATTAAGCTATGAATAAACACATTTAGCTTTTAAATGTGTCAAAGACAGGACAAAATAGACCTTTCCGGAGTGTCAATCAAACTTAACAACTGACTAATCAGAACAGCGCTAGGAATACGCGCACCTCTTACAAACACACGTGTTGTCCCACAAACGCACGTGTTCGCGTATGTTTTAACAATGCCGTCTTGTGGGACCTTAGCAACAATATCCAAGGGGCGGATCTTAGCGGAAAGGTCCATTGGATGGAGCTTTGCCTTTAAATACTCCATGCTGTTTTCACATTACAAACATTTGTTTGTTTTGTTTTTGTAGTTTGGCTTTATTATGTCGAAAATTGTCCAATATGGATGGATGGCCATAATGTTACTCACATCGTATACCGTAACCATTACTCCATGGTATGACCAATCAATTTTAGTAATTAGCCATATAACTGAGTTTTTCTTTTTTCTTTGTTCCGTTCATATGAATCCAACTAATAAACCTGCACCCTGAAATCTAAAATCATAACACTATTCATGTTAAGATCGTAATTTGTTTTTGAACTTTTTATATCCGACGCATTACGGTACGCTATGCATTATTAAATATGTTAAACAGAATTAATGTCCAGGAAGTACTTAAATGAATTTCGAAGGTGGAGATGAATTATTAATTCAAAAAAATGTGGTAAAATATTATAGTGCGCATTGCCTTCCACCTATTCACTGCCCATCTTATCAACAAACCAAAAGGATCAACAAAGGGTACTCTCAATGAAACACGCAAGTCAAGAACTACCGGCAGGGGTACAGCGGCACCCCGCTGAGGGTCGAGCGGCGACTTTTCTGTACCTTGCGGTACTTGTTTAAATGCTAAGAAAATGTTTAAAGGTCGTTTGTATTTTGAGAGCAATTCTGATACTGAATTCATGTCTACTCTATATCGGCATAGGCCTACTTCATTTTTAATAATATTCGCCAATAAAAGCATAACAGTTTTTTGACACTGTTATGTAATCGTGACGAGAAAATAATAACTTACAGTCATGCCCCGGATGAAAATTGTTTTTTATATGTATATTTTTCTAAGACACAAAAATCATATTTGACAAAAAAAATCGGGAACGGTTAATGAGATACAGTTTTTTAAATATTGTATTTAAAAACTGGGGGAAAAGAGGTGTCTCCACCATTTCTTCCCTTTTACGGTCCAAAAAAATGGTGTGAAACGTATAGGCCTATGCCTATTAGTACATTATGATATTTTTATTTGGTATAGTTTTTTTCTCTAATTGACCGATGGTCATTTATTCAAAATTACATTATAATACAGTACATCATAATAAAAAGACAATACATTAATTATTATAATGAAATAAAGAATATCAATGTTAAATTCAAAATAATAATCTGTCAGATTGAGTAAAAATATGAATCTGAATATACCATTGGATCTATAGCATTCTTTCTTCAAAATATACAAATCAAAAGTTAGCTTTAGAGTAACTTTCTCTCTTCTAACATTTAAAACCATGCGTACAGTACAGTATTTGATATAGCTACTAGAAAAAACTGTCATAAATCTTGAAAAGGTTTAAACAATATAAAATAAACAAACTTTTATAACGATGGGAATTACCAGCAAGAGAAGTACAAGTGTCTACGGTACCTATGTTCGTCGACCGTAATATTATGGCGTACAAAACGCAGGATCGAAATAGATAGATAACTGATCCATTTTACGGCTCTAGCCTAATTACGTTTTAACTGTAAATTTCAATTATTACTGTCCTTTGATAGTTACAGAATTCTGTATTTAAAATCGTACATCCTAATTACCTTTTTAAAGAGATAAGGAGCTTTGGTACGCATCCATCTCAGTAAAGCTACACTGATGTGTTAGGCCTTGTCCAGAAATGTCATTTGACATCACATCATGACCATATATAGGCACATCATGACTATATATGGGCATATCAAGTTTTTTTTTTTTTTTTGTCACATAGAATTTGATAGTGTGGGTAGAGCTTTAAACAACTTATTTTGGATTGCTTACTTTAGGATATTTAAGTAATGCTTTTGTCACGTATCCTGCCAATGGCGGAGAGAACGTTCAATAATCCACCTTTCACTATTGTTTAATACCGTATTATTGTTTAACCACACAGCTCTGAAAGCTTAAATAACCTCAATGTCAAAATCCAAACCTAAGTCCAATAAAGACCTTCAAAAGACAACATACCTGTAAAGTAATTGTGTTGTCGTGTCAGCGTAAACAATAACAAAGGGGAAAGTGAGGCTACTTTAGAATTAATTTACTGCATGAAATTTAGCTGACAGCCGGGGGGTTGTTTGTTGGCTTCTAATGTCTGGAGTGCTGGTTTAACCACCGAGAATTTTTATCTCTTTAGATTAGGCCTACTGTTATAATAATCAAAGGCACACTATATTACAACTATAATAATGTACTTTTGCCAATTTTTTTTGTGTGATTATATCTTTGCCAAAGATCTTTAAATAGGCCTATTGGCTACCCATTACACTGAACCTCGAACTTTAACATACTATAAGTAGGGGTAATAAATACTTCTAAACAAAACAAACAGGTACAAATACAGGTCAATGTCATGCAATTATTATAAATATCCTCAAATAATTACAGTAATATAGGCCTATTTTAACGAGAATTTTTATCTAAATGTTTAACATATCAACTAATTATTTCTAAATAAATTGCTATTCCAACTAATTTGGCTAGGTTCAATTGAAATCATATTTTTTGTAATTATAACCACGTTGTTTTCACTTTACCTTCAAGCCTATTAGTACGAGGACGATACTACAGTACCGGTACTTGTTGAAAGGGGTACCAGCAGAGAAAACATAATGACCTTGAATATTTTCGGTAGACCACTTTTTCATTATATTGAGGGCGCTATGTACGACGATGGTTCCCGCATGGACGATCGTTTACTTCTACCTAGCAACAATTTCCACAATGATGAATGTTTATCATTTATTTTTGGAAAATTGCGGTTTTGTTGACTCTATATAATGATTTTAAAATCCTAGTTTATGCTAGAAAGGGATGAAAGTGCAGCTTTTCAATTAATTTACTGGCAAAACAAGCTGAATTCTCCCGTTTTAGCAACTCATAGGCTAGGCCTAGCAGGTTGGTTGGTTTCGTGTACGAGAGGATCACTCATGAGACATGGGAGTGAGTTGTAGCCGAGGCGACGATGGTAGGCCTAAATACTTTTTTTTTACTAGCTACTCGAAAGGGTCCCTCAGTTTGGACTTGATATCGAGGAATAAAACTAGGGCTACTAGGCCTAAGTGTGCATAACTAGGACAACGGACGTGACACAAAAAGAAACAAAAAACATAGGCCTAGCCTAGGGGCCTAGGCCTAGGCCTACCTAGCTAGTTAGGCCTAGCCTAGGGCCTATGTAGGAAAAATAAACTCTACGTCCTAGGCCTAGGTGAGAGTAAAACGTTACTTCTCTAGGCTAGGCCTATGAGTATCATTAGATAGGCCTAGGCCTTTGTTGTGGGAGGGACCTCTTGGACTCCTGGAGGGATTGTTTCAGTGAGGGCTCCGCTAGGGAGATTAATCCACCAACCAATGTTGCGTGGAAAGAATGGGTGGCGATCAGGCCTAGCTAGAGCAATCCGGTTTGCTAGGGAGCCCACACATTCATTTTTTTCCATATAGGCTAAGCCTAGAATTCATTGGGAACTCGAACCCGCTCTAGCCTACTACTGTACATGTAGGGATGTAATAATTAGTAATGCCTACATTAAGTCATAGCTTGTGACATTCAAGTTGTATGTTCCTCTAGCTAATATATCTTCCTGCTGTCTGTTCATTTGAGGCAAAGCGGGTGACGTTACCAATACGGTTCCAACTGGGATTTGAATTGGTTTAATAATCCCAGATACTGTTTGAAAACATTTCTGCCTCACTCTCAGTGCAGCATAACTTTTGGACATAAGTTAATTTATGACCTCTTGCTCCAGAATCGAACTATCTCTTGTAAAAAATTACTCTGAATCTTCTTATAAATCCCTGGAACAACTGGAAAATCCTAAGGCCTCGGCCTAAATTAATGTTTGCAAGTTATCATACCCATACTGTGTAAAAATATAAGTTTGAAAAGATTAGGAAGAGTGCATTAATACCCAGGTAGGCCTACCACCAGCCTAACTATGACGTGACTCAGCTTTTAACGCATCTCTTGGCCTAATTAATATTATTAGTGGGCTTGGTCTTAATGATTAGTAATAACTTGCATTTAATCTCGGAGATAACTTCATTTATTCGCCAATAGCAGGATTCATATACCGTATTTATTCAAATAGACACCCTGCTTTAAATAAACTCCCCCCCCCCTTCCTCGAATATATTCCCCCTCTAGAGCCTCATTTTAAATAATCGCCTGAATAAACGCCTCGAATAAATTCCACCCCTCCCCACCCAAATGTCTGTAAAAAAAAAAAAACAGACAAAACTATCAAGTTCTCAACACATTCTATTAATATTATAGACCAGTAGAATTACATTTTTCATAACCTGGTTAGGATCAATACTGTTTGTCTTTATGATCATACAATAACACATTTTGATGGTAATTATGTGTTGTAGTTCCACATTTGCAGTGAAATTTGCTTGTGAAAGTGCTTTTATTTGAGTATAAAGGCCTCCCTAAATAAATGTCCCTCAAAAACCCTTCTATAAACACCCTGGGCAGTTATTCGAATAAATACGGTATTCATAATTCATACAGCAAAGGGAAATGATGCCTGTACAATGTTGTCTGCCATACTTATTGCATACAGATATTGCACCAAATGGGTCAAGTCATATAGGCTAGCGGTTGATGGACTCCATGTCTGTGCTAGCTTCCCATCTGCCGTAAATGTTTTATAAATATTTTTACTTGATTGCAATTTTTTTTTAAGGCATTTGAAATTGAAGAAAGAAAGAAACCCATAAAATGAAGTACTGTATTTATTTGTAAATAAATAATATTATTCACTTTTTTGATTTTATATTCAATATTATCTTGCAGTGCTTGTGCTAGCAGGCTACCATAACAATGAGGTACCGTCATTTAAGATAGTGCTAGTTGGTAAGAAGATTATTTTTCAACTTACAGGTCTCCCTCCAATTAAAGACCACATTTGGGACCATGGTTTCCATGGTATTTAACAGCTTAATAAATAGAGGTCCAGAAAAGTGGTCCTTAATTAGAGGGAGACCTATATTCACCACAGTCAAAATTTTCACAGCAAATTCCAAATAATCCAAGGTAGGCCTATCACCTTCACCTTCATTATCGGGTGAGGGGAGCTCGGGTGAGGGGAGCGTGAAGGAGTTGGAGGGTTTGATGATTAAGTGAGGGGTGCTAGGTCACAAAATAATGTGATATGAGGTGATTTTAAATACTGCACTTGATTTGAGTGTGATTTTTTTTACTCTGGACATTTTTATTGGGAGACGACTGGGGGAGCTTTTAGAAATAGTGTTGCCCCATGCACCCCTAGGTACGCCACTGCATATGCCGCACATTGATTACGGTAATTAAATGTTCTACTTAATGTATATTCTTAATTACTTTTTTTTAAATCCAAGTTATAGATTTGTTTTTAGAGATTGTTTTAAATGATATTCAATATTTATTTCCATGAATAAAAATATAAATTACAATCATAAAACACATCATAGTACGTTAGTGAAAAAATATGCAGGAGATGCAAAGAAAACCAAATTGCCTGTAAAATGTTGAACTATTACAGAAAAAAAAGCAAATTGCTTGTGAAAATGTAGGTACCTGCAAGTCATGTTTTGTATGTTAATTTTTATCTAGATTTGTAAAGTAAATACTGTACTTTACCATTGTTTGTTTTTATATTTTCAATTTCTCTGCTTGTCATGCAAAAAATTTTCAAAATGTATGCATAGATCCTTTAAATCTGTAGAAGAATATTGCCAGATTATGAATGGCAGTTGATATTACAATAAAAAATAAAATAACGATAAATAAATTAACAATTCTACCACTATGTTGGCCATGTACATGCATTTACAAATTATACTCGAAGACAAAAAATATTTAATACCAAAAAAAAAAAAACAGCAAGATCATTGTATTGTATTTAGTTTTTTTTTTAGTTAAAATTAGTGATGTTGTAATACTGATGATGACAATACAGTATTTCATTCAATTTGCAGGGGATGAGAAAGTTGGCAAGAGTAGCATATTTATGCGTTACTTTCGAAATCAATTTGACTACAGTTACCGGCCAACAGCTTCTGTCCATATAGGTGAGTTTATTATTGTATAGGTGATAGAGAGCGGTAGTAGTCACCGTGTGTGCGCTGAACCGTGGAGATCTAATCCATGATTTAATTTTTCTATCGCTGCTCTCCTTGCTGGAGGACTGAAATGCAAGTTATGATAGCGCACCATCTTTTGGATGGAAACTAAGTCTTTGGACTTAGAGGGTTATCCATGGTGTGATTCACACTAAAATACTCCTATAAAGTTACTGTGCATTCTACACTATGCATATATGTCTTTAGGGTGAGAGTGTTTTGGACGAAAAAGACGAATAAGATGAAAAGAAAGAAAGATCAAAAGAGAAAAAAGAAAATAATTAGATAAGGAATGATATGATTAGTTGAAGCAGAAAGGAACAATTAAAGTAGATGAAGATGAAATGAGAGGAAATTTAAGAGCTAAGATGAAGGCATAAGGGGAATGAAAAGAAGATGGCATTAAAATAAAAGAAAAGTAATTAAAAATAGACAACATTTTTAAGACACTGCACCTTGCTTACCAAAATTTTGGGTTGAGATGTGCACTTTTAAAATCATTATATTTAGTATTATTATTAGGTCACTACAACTTCAACAAAATGTATTCGATCAAATCAATCTATAATAACAATATGGTTCAAGTAAACTAAAATAGACAAATCAATCGATCTGTAATAACAATATGGTTCAAGTAAAAGGAAATAGACAAATCAATCGATCTGTAATAACAATATGGTTCAAGTAAACGGAAATAGACAAAACAATCAATCAGTAATAACATAACATAACAATAGTTTCAAGTAAACGGAAATAGACAAATGAATTTGAATTTGAAAAAAACTTATTTCGGAATAACTCTTGACAATGTAAGATAGTAATAAATATAATAATGATAATAGTAATAATAATGAGAATGATAATAATAATGATAATAATAGTAATAATGATAATACTATAGTGATAATAATTAAAAAAAATGATAATGATAATAAAAAAACAGTAATAACAAAAGAAAAAAAAAACAGTGACACTATAAAAAATAAGAATAATAAGAGAAATAATAAATGAAGTAGTATTTAACAATCATTAAAAGCAATTTATAAAAAAAATTGTTTTATAGAAGTATTCTTCAATCATTCTTAATTGATATTCATGTGAAATATACAAAAGAAAACATTTACAAAATCCAGGACGCAGCCTGCATTATTAGCAGGCTTACGCAGGCAGAATGTCAATTCGAAAATCGAAAACAGAAACAAACACAGAACAGAAAAATTATGGTAAAACATTGATTGTAATAAAAGTGATCATTTAAAATTTAGATTTAACAATTTATTTACATACTGTACAAATTAATCTAAGTAATAATAATTATAACAATAAGTATTAAAAACAGTACAGCATAATTCAATAGTGAAAGAGATAAAAATAGAAGTGACAGTAAAAATAATGATAAGAACAAAGCATTAGGTTGATACAAACAAATGGAAATATTCAAGGTACAAAAGAATTAAGGAACTTTATAATTTGACACAAGGCAAGACTTCATTTCTTTTCTAAAGCACTTCACTGTTTTTACACTTTTGAATAGAATCAATAGAATTCCAAATCTTATGACCATATACATTAATAAAAAAGTACTTTTATTTAATCGTTTGAAAGGAATATAACGACCATCAGCATTTCTTAATTTATAAGTATAAGGTTGGTTTGACTGTGCAACATGATCCATTATAGGTTCGGGAAGATTCTTTTCAACTAAATGAAACATAAAGCAAGAAATTTGCAGCTTATTTAAGTGTACCCAGTTTTAAAGAATAATAGTTGAGTATAGGCTCTGTATGGAGATAATGTAAGTCTTCTAACCACACGTTATTGTAACCTCTCAAGGGTTACTATATGATTTGGAAAATTACTTGCCCAAATGATATTACAATATAATAAATAAGGTAAAAAAAAAAAGACAATTATAAATCGATACCAGAAATGGTGTTTTAACACCGACTGATTTGGAAATACCTTTTGCAACATGGGCTTGATGGTACTGCCAATATAGATACTGTTATATAGATGCCTAAAAAAAGATTTTCTTTCAAGAACATTATGATTTAGTGTAATTTGAATATTGTCGAGATTATACTTTTTTGGGGGCTGCTTAAAAATGACATAATTAGTTCTAGTTGAATCAAAATTTTATTTGCAATAAACCAGTTACTAACTGTACTTAATACATGGTTGTTAATTCTGGTAAGGTCATCAATATTATAATGATAGAAGTAAATTGTAGAATCATCAGCAAAGGAAATGAAATTCAATTTAGCTCTAGTGTATAAAAGATTGTTAACTCATAGATTAAAAAAGTACAGGGCCCCTGTGGGACTCCATGTGTTAAATAGGTTAATGGGGATGTAAATTATTTAATGGAGACAAATTGTTGACGATTACATAAATAGCTATGAAACCAGTCTTGTGCAGTACCCCTTATAACATATCTGAATAGTTTTCTTAGAATATCAAAATTTATAACATAAATGTCTTTGATAGGTCTAAAAAGATACTGAGTAGAAATTGCTTGCTTTCAAAAGAATCAGTTATATTTTCATGGTTCAAGTATAGTGTGACAAGTTGAAAGATTTGGTCTGAAACCTATTGATGTTTATTTAAAATGCTATGTTTGGTATGGGTCTATAGGTATTTAAAAGCTTTTTATCGCTCTTTTTGAAAACGGGAATTACTTAGGCGATTTTTAGTTGATGAGTTAAAATTCTGGAGGAAAAAGGAGTATTTATAGCATATATCAATGGAGAAATACTGAATTGTAAAGTGGATTGGATCATGCATGTACTTATAAAATTACTGGGCTGAATATCCCTACCATAGGATGCATACTTTTATTAGGGTAGGGTATGATAGTCAATAGGATCTTAGTTAGGCCTTAAAAATAAATGTTATGTTGGCGTAACCCGACCGACCCTAACAAAATCGGCTAACCCTAGACATTTTTATTTAAATTTTCACAATACAAGTTTACATTAGCAAAGTAGACGTGGTCGGGTGGCATTAAAAATGTTTCAAAAGTGGCCCAAGGGCGAAAAATATGACAATTAGGGGCTTTAAAAGCTTATTTAATTGATTTTATAGATTTCAAGGCCTTACCCTACCTACCCTATTTTTTGGGGCCGTTATGCCAACATAACATATTTTTTGTTAGGCCTTATGTTAGGTCTTTACTCATAAATGCATGGTTTGGTTAGAGCTTAGGGTGTATGGGTCATCACTATAAGCCGCTTGTACAACAAATGCAACTCCACTGCCTGTGAGCGATAGACGACACGACGCTGTCTGCTGATTGTCGGTGGCAGTCTGAACGGATCGTCATTAAAAACGATTCGTTGTGCAGGTGTCGTGGTGTTTCATTTTCCATTATTTTTTCAGTACATATATATGGCGCAACAGGGCAAGGATTTGTGATTTCAGATGATTTTGTTGTATAATTTGCGTAAAGGGCCATTCAAAATTCTTTTTAAAATTTCACTGTATATTTGCATGACTTTGTAAAGGAGTGGAGTTGAGTAGCTCAGCGGTTAAGATGCTTGCCTTCTAATCCAGGGTCATGGGTTCAATTCCTGTCACAGCAGGACTTTTTATCATGACTTAAACCAACTCCACTCCCTAAGCCTCATAAACAGACTTCGCTGATTAAAAGCATCACATTATTTCTTTATTTTTTTTTTCTTTTTTGTGGTTGAACCACCACATTTATTCATCAAATAAGTACATTATCATCATCATAAGATATATATATAGATTAAAAGGCAAAATACTGAAAAACAACAATGCTGTGGGAAACAATGGCTGGATCTCGGTAGAGATACAAAAATTATTTTTTTCCCAGTACATTAACACACAACATTTTGTACTTAAATTAAAATCTTTTTTTTTTTGGACAAACAAATTTCATTCTTAATCTTTTTTTTTTCTTTTTTTTAAGCAACATTTTAAACAATATAAGAACACAAATAGAAGAATTAGCATTTTCAATCATCACATATTATCACTAATGCTTTAATTTATGTATTTTTCTTGTTTTATTTGCTATTGATCATTTATTTTGGTATATTGTGTGGTTACCATTTTAAATTTTTTTTAAATTTTTTATTCACCTTCATTAATGGCATAACAATGCAAATAAGTGAAGAAATAATGAATTAGGTACAGGTATTTACAGTTATCGTTTTTGTATTTGCATTCTTCATAAAAACTCTTCTTAAATTCTTCTTAACTTCTTTCCATTTTCCTTCAGCCATTTCACCTCTAGTATTTCACAGTCAATTGTGTTTTTTAGTGCATAAATAAACGTTTTCTAGTAATTTACACTCGTAGGTATATTTAGTTTGGAAAAAATGTTTTCATTTATTTCAAGAGCACCCCGGAATATCAGCCGACCTTCTAGGATACGCTGGAAGGGTCACTCTCTATAAATATGGTTTTAAAAATTTATATTGGCTATTAATGTAATATACTTGTTGATCTAGCTATTGTAATTTAGTCTCATTACTATAAGGCAGCTAAGTTTGCCTTTCTTATGGTCTAATCAGTAGCAGCGCCATGGGAAAAGGAGGAATTTTCCCCCCTCCAGTTTTCACCCAAAGAAGAAGAAAAACCACAATTCGTCGGAGAGAAAAAGAAACGATAATTATGTATTTTCTACATATAGTAAACTATCTATCTATAAAATTGATTAAATAAGCCTCTGAAACCCCTAAATTGCCGTTTTTTTCTGGTGTTTTTCCCCGGACCACTTTCAAGACATCGTGAGCGACGTATGACCATGCCCACCTTGGGCCACCCCAGCATATTCCCCCCCCCCCAAAAAGTTTACCTTGCCCCTCATTTGCCCTCCCTCCAGCCTCCAGATTTCAGGCGTTGGTGCTGCCACTGAGTCTAATGTTAGTGAAATTGACAACTTGACTATATTTAAATGATTTTAATTGTTTAATTTCATGTTCCTTGCAGAAAATGTAGTGAAGAAGTTAAACGTACCAGAACATGCAGTGGTGTCTGTAACTATTTGGGATCTCCCTGGAAGAGAGGAAGTTGATTTACGAAAGAGCTATTACCAAAATGTGGATGCAGCAATTGGTAAGCAAATCAATTATAAAGCAAAAGGAGATGTACAAAATTGCAAATTAATCCATCAACCATGTTTAAATACAAACATCCTTAGCTCCAAAGCCCTTTTCAGACTTTATTTGAAAAAAATATGTGACATGTCTAAATATGGTTATCAGGGGCTGAATTTAGGGGGGAGGGGGCCCAAGCCGGCTCAGCCCACCCTTCCCCTTTTGGAAAGTAAGAAAATAAGAGAAAAAAAGGAAAGAAAGAAAAAGAAAAATTGATCGCCCAAAACACCTCAGATGTTATTTTCGAGCGTCTAGAAAACAAAAAATTCGCAGGGGAACTCCCCGGACTCTCCCGGACCCCGGGGTGGTGTTATCTCGATCGACCCAAATTTCAGCCCCCTTTCTGCCCCTGGTCATGATGACATCACATCATGACCATATACAACATTCAACAGTTGTTTTCAAAGGAAGTTTGATAGTGTGGACTAAGCTCTATGCTACAAGTTAGATGTGATGCAGTCAACTACTACTAGCAGAAATGCTAGAAATGGAATGGCCACAATAACTGCTCCATAAACTGATGCATGCAATTTTTCTCTAGTTGTCGTTGATGCCTCCGATCGAGGGAGTATCGAACTAGCTGGTAGCTGGAAACAAGATGTTTGCAACAATGCAACAGTCAGCCAGGCCACTAATTGCGCAGAACACAAGACCAATGTGACATACGTGAAAGGAGATCGGAGCAGCATTCCAGTTCTTCTTCTTGGAAATAAATATGATTTGGTATGATTTGTTTCTACATGCTTTTTACAGATATATTGCTGACATAATTGTACAAAATAATCTGTAGTTTCCTAAAATTTGAAAACTTAAAAATCATAAAGGTTAGACCAGCTAAATTGTAACGCCATAATTTCATTTCATTTTCATTTTTTGTTCCATTCATTTCCCTTAATGTAGAAGACAATTTTCCATTACTAAATTGTGTTGATGTTAGTATCAACATGTTATAATAATTTGGTAACTTCTGTTAAATCTGAGGTTGTATTTTAATCTCATTTTTATCTGTTATTCCGTTTTTTGTTATGCTATACGCCACGGGAGTGCCATATTTTTTAATCTGATCACAACAACGTTAAAACTTTCTTTGTTTGCCAACCTGGCAATCAGATTTATAAAACATGAAATAAACGCAGACTCTTACGATTCCTGTACTTTCGGACTAAGTTTATATTTCCTTCTAACCCAGCAGCGAGAAAATGACTTAATCCCATCCTGTTTATATCTTTAAAATCATTTAATATTAATTTTTTTTAAATTAATGAGTCTTACAGGACATTATTTTAGTGTTCATACCGTTTACATACAGCAAAATCACCATATGGTCTATGACCCCTTGAACCAGCATACAAACTAAAACTAGTTCCACTACTCTTTGTTGGTCGTTAAAGGTCATTGTCTTCTAAGCCTAGTCCTACAATCTTTCTCACTACTGCTGAGAGTTATATATGTTATTATTAATTTTATTTTTGTAATGTTGTTAGTTATAAAAGTTATTAATATCAGCCCTCAAAATTAATGCCGGCATTCGGCAATGCCGACGTAAACGGTGGCGTCTAGCCGCCCAACGCCGACGAAAAAAATCGCTGATTTGAAGATTTTAGGCCTAGCCCAAGTTATCCCAGGCCTACGCTGGTACCAGTGGTGATAGACTCGGCAGGATCGCTGTGAACACACAATATTAAACTTTATTCTTAATGTAAGCAAGTTATTTAATGTTTTGTATTATGAGTAAAATGTGAATAAAATCAAACTGGATTGTGTGTTTCATGCTTTTATATTGTTTTTACATGCATTTTCGATCTGGCATTTTTTTTCTTTTCCAAACACAACTCATTCTTCATGTAAACATTAGGTCGTGCCTCCTAAACTCTGCCCGCTAATTGGTTAATTTGTTTCGTGGGGTCATGGATGGGCAAACATGTGCTTGGCTGTGACGACATCAGATCGCCCAAAGTTTTATAGTGCGTAACGGCTTGCAGATAGGAGCAAGATCAGTGTAAATCGATTAATTTTTAATTAAACAAATTTATTAAAACAAATAAGAAACCCTCATGGTTTTGTTTTACAGTCAAATCTAAATAATTCTTAAAAATGTAAATTTTCATTCTCTACAAATTTCCTCTGTAATTAGCAACATGTTTTTTTTTTTTTTTTCACAACTAATTATTTTATCAATAATTAGTTGTGAATTTGAACATCAGTACGTAGGCTAGGCTTTCCAGCTTGATTGGGTGACTTGAAAAGACATCCATCACTGCTATAACAGGTCAGTATGGTTTAATTTCAGGGATGTAGCTGAAACTAAAAACTGCCGACGTTATAACCGGCGTCAATTTAATAGCGCCGGCGATTTTTAATTTTTTTTTTTGCCGACATACTTTTTTTTTCTAATTTTGAGGGCTGTAATATTGTTATTGTTGTTATTAACCTTGATGTTATTTTATTAATATTATACATTTAGGAGTTTCAGGAGAAGAAATGGAAATATATTTTTCTTTTCATTTGTTCAATAGGTTGAAGAACGAGAAGAACTTGAGATGGAAAAGAATGAAAGAAACAACAAAGAGGAAGTGAGAAGCATTGGCAAAATCCAAACAATTCAGGAACAGTCTGAGGGAGAGCTCGATCAGAAGAAAGACGTGGATGAACAAGTGTGGAAGTATGAGGAACAGCAAGTGGACAAAACAGAACCAGTGCCAGAAGAAATTAAGTTTTTGCAATCAGTAGCCGAGCAACATGGATTTGTTGGAAGGTTAGATTTTAATTGGAAGTTTTAAATTTGGCACAGCAATTGCTATTTGGTCTTAACACGTCTCAACCATGCTTTTTTTGAGTTGATGGTCACTCGCTCTTGTATCCTTGTAT